CTCCCCCGGCAAGCTCGGGGCTTCGTTTTCCGGAGTTAGCTATGGCTTCCCCTTAGCCCGCTTCTCCTCCCCGCCGCTCTCTTCGCTCCGTGGAGTTACCTGGCGGCCGGGTGGTCTGCGTTTTGGCTCTCCGCGGGAACCTGAGTGTCTGAACACCCTCCAGACACTACTTCGGGGGGTCGCTGCGCCCAAGGACCCCCTTAATCATCCGAAAAACCCGGGATTCTCCGCCTGGAAGCAATCCCCGCTTGCGATGGCGTCGCTCACAACCGGAAGCTCCAGCAGCATTCCTTTTTAATTTGACTCTCTCTTATTTACAGCTGTCTCCAATCTAGATGAAGAGAGTAGATGGACAGTCCATTACACTGCACCCTGGCATCAACAAGAGAACGTGTTTCTACCCACCTCAAGGCCACCCTGTGTAGAGGATCTGCACCGCCAAGCCAAGCTGAACCTGAAGTCGGTACTAAGAGGTAGGAAGTTGACAATAATAACACACCATATCATTACAGATTTTTTTCTTTAGCAGTAAAACTATGTGCCTGCTTGCATCTGCCTGCTTTCACAGCCCTGTGACCTCTTGTACTTTTATCAAGGAACTAAACAAGTCAAAGAGGGAAGAAAATATCACACCAGTGTTTCAGATGATTATACTCTTCCTGCTGTAAAGTGGTCTCCATAAAACATATTTATGCAACATGCAGCTCTAGTTGGTTTCAGCCAGACACAATAATATCATCACAAGTTCCAACTGTAGCTGAAGAGGAGGCTGGAAAAGAAAGTCTGAAGAGCCATCCTAGAAATGAGATTGAACCCATCCTGCTGATTACAAGTTTCAGGACAATCTCTGATATATGGAACATGTGGAATCAAACAAAGCAGTTTAAACATTTGACACTGGAATATTCTGATTTTAGAGTTCAGGTGTAAAGTGCTGAACAAATATATTAGGTCAGTAAATATATATTTGTCAGAGTGCATACTGCTTCTGTCCTTTCTTCTCAAAAGTGTCTGAAATATATTAGTAAAAATAACTCAAGCTAGGTTAATCCAATAACTCATAAAAATTATGATTGCATTTAACCTGATTTGGGTTTTTTTATTTTAAATCATACGTTTTTGGGTGATATGGAGGTATGTTCAATTGGTCCACATAGAGGGGGAGAGGTTGCCAATGACAGCTTCCCTTTGAGGCAAGATGGCTAATCAATAACCATAGAAACAATGTAAAATACAAGATAATAGCTAGCTTTTATGCTTGTTCCTGCTTGCATAATGTTTTAATTTTAACCTTGCTGCAATTTCCCATTTAATAAAAATGCAGCAGAGGTTGGTTTCAGACCTATATATGTAAAATTTGCAGGCTCTTTTGTTTTCAGTAAATATTGATTCTCCATCATCAGTGCATTCATATATACCATTGCTTTTGTTGCTGCAGGGCCCCAGTATCTGTGGTGATTCATTAGTTATCCCAGCTTATTGGCGCATTGGTTTTGTAGACTAAGGTTGGAGATGTGTTTCTATACTGTCTTGGTTCCAGACATAGCTTAGGAAGCAATGCTTTAAGTGTTTGAATTAAATCCCAGAAGACATCTGGTTAGCATGTAATATAAACAAATTAAAAGATAAATCAGCAGACCTTCCTACATGTTTCCCTAATCTTATACAGAGAATAACATGTTATTGCTCAGGCTTTGTTTTTCCTATGATTCATTGGATCAATATGTTGATGAGAAATATGGGTCATCCCTCGCTGGTGGTTAATTTCTGCTGAGAAGATTACTTGTTTTATGTATTAATCATATGTTCAATTAATGGCCTGTTAAGCAAAAGGGAACCATTTAATATGAGTAACAGTTTTAGCCCTGGATTTATGTTGATGCTGAGATGTGAAATTTATATCAATTCAGAATAATGAAATAAAAGATAGGCAAGAGGCAGCATGGTTAAGCTAGGCTGCCTTGTTTCCAAGGGAGAAAATAAAATCAAGACTGTTTGCTAGCGCTGGTAGCTATACCCATTTATTCTTTATGGTTTTTAACTATTTGAAGCCATTCACAGTTCATACGCACTTGGCTTTGGAAAATGTCTGTCTTTCAAATGCTCTTCTGAAGAGTCCTATGCAATGAAAATCTTAAAGAATATTATACATAATAGTTTCTGGTTCCATGCTGAGAAATGTAATCTATTGAACTATAGTTGTGCATTCTGCCGGCTGTGAAGTATGTAAGGAAAAAAAAGTAACTAGATTCAATAGTTGTGACCTGCACAGTATTAGAAACTGAGATTTGAAAGCTAGGAGCTAAATGGCACCTTGAACCGAAGTTATGGGCGCAATAACGGAATGTCTAGGCACACTTTTTTTAATAACAAGAATCCAAAGCTGAAAATGAATGAACTGCAGCTAAAATATTATGCTCATTTTTCACCTTTTTAACCTTTTGTTAATGGGTTCTAGAGCCATGGGACCACCATAGAAAAGGTCATTCCTGGCAAACTCACTGCCCTAAGTTGGCCTTGGTTGCTAAAATTAACTTGTGAACCAGATAATATGGATACAGGTGGCCCTTCAAAAACTGTTTAGTTTATAAAATTAACATTTTTAATTGGGCTCAAGAGGGCACTGGCAATCGGTGCAACTGGTATAATAATGTTGTTACATGGTCCGAATAACATGCCCTTGTCAGGTGCATTTTGAACCAGATGAAGTTTCAAAGTCATCTTCAAAGGCAGCCCCACATAGAGCCACATGGAGGTTTCTTCAGAAAAGACTGCCACTAATGTACCAGACAAAGCTGAGAAAATGTGTTCTGGCCCTCATGTGGCATTCAAGAGAGCGGGACTGGTCTTTAAAATGGAGTGCCACTCACCTAGGACTAGCTGTAAACTGTTGTGTACAGGAGATAACCTCCCAGTTCATAGTGTCTCCAGTTTGCTTTGCTGTAACCCCTGCTTGTTCACAGTCATCCGCTTCTGCATAATTATAGTATGGAAAAAATTCCTAAGTGGAAATGTCTGTGCCCTCACCTCACATGATAATAGTTGCTTACAAAAGTACATGCTTGGAGAGAATGGCTAGGAATCTCAGGTAAGCAGAGCAGTATTGCACAAACTAGTTATACATGAAAAGAGCATCTGTGGTCTGAAATGATCTTTGAGGAAAACCTCAGTAAGATGTTGGATCCTACTGGTAGAATGGGATAAGCTTCTAGTTGTAGCAGCTGCTACCTCTTACTTCTGTCAGGAGAAATGGCACGGTTTTGTTTAGTCTTGTATGCAGTGCATTTCTAGCTCCTGTCTACTGTTCCTTTTTCTACAAAGAATATTTAGAATGTGTTGGTTTAAATGTGCATGCATTTGTTTTGTTTCAACAACACAGCTGCTGTGTGATTTGCATCCCTTGTTCAGTATCGTAGACAAGCTGATTGAATGCTTAAAATAAAAAAAACCCCAAGATTAGAGAAGAGAAGGAACACCTTGGAAAACCAAGTTGAAAGTATAATACATTACCATATTTAAGCACATCCTTTATCTTATTCTCTCACCATTCTCTAAAGGAGAAAATTCAAGGAAAGTGGTTGAAAAGATGCTATCAGCATGACTCAGGGAATCCAACAGGCTTTCCAGTGGCATGAAGCTGAAACAGGCATTACAAATGATATTTGTTAACAGGCTGTCACTGGGGAGTGCTCAATGTGATTATCTCCATTTGTCTTGGGCTAATTTGGATTTCTACGGGGATGTAATCTTAGTACACTTGTGGATGATAAATCGCGATTGCTTCAGTCATGCCTGCTTATCTCTACATTTTGCAAGCTGAAAGACAGAAAAGAAAGGCCTGTGCCTGACCCTTTTGCTGTTAACCGAAATAGATTTTGAAAAAGAAAATACCCACAAAACTATTTATGGCTTTCTGTCCAAGTCATTTCATAGAATCACAGAACTGTAGAGTTGGAAGGGATCCCGAGGGTCATATATGCTGCTATGCTTGCATCCTGCTATGCAAGAATCTCAACTAAAGCACCCATGACAGATGACCACCCAACCTCTACTTAAAAATATCCAATGAAGGAGAGTCCACCACCTTCCGAGGGATTCTGTTCTGCTGCCAGCAGTAATTTCGTTGTCCCCGAGAGGGGACAATGACAATAAAGATATTATTATTATTATTATTATTATTATTATTATTATTATTATTATTATTGTCAGAATTTCCTTTATTAACTTGAATCTGTTGGTTCAAGTCCTACCCTCTGGAACAGGAGAAGACAAACTTGCTCCATCTTCCATGTGACAGCCCTTTAGATATTTGAAGAGGGCCTTCATATCTCCTCTCAGTCTCCTCTTTTCCAGGCTAAACATATCCAACTCTCTCAACCTTTCCTCATAAGGTTTGGGTTCTAGACCCTTGATCATCATGTTTGGGCTTGTCAGTATCCTTCTTAAATTGTTCTGAGCAGGACCAACCTAACAATTCTGTTGCAGATAATTCTAGAGGAGTGTCTTCCTGTGTGATGTGATTTGAAAAAGGAATCTGCCATTGGCTGCCACTTTCTCTTCACTTGAATACATTTGGGCCAAAAAGCTGGGCAGTGTGTAAGCAGTAGCTTTCATTGGAATCTATTCAATAATGCTTGACAGTTTTAGTCTCAAATGGACAGCACTCGGTGATAAGCCTGGGGGGGCTTATCCCCCCCAGAGATGAAGAGATGCTACACCTGAAAGATTGTGATAGTGGTACAAAGAGCTATTTTGGAAACAGCAGGAACTCTGATAACCAAAAAGGTGAATTTCTTCTTACCCATGTGGCAGAGTCCTGGCTGCATGCTTGGTTCTCACATGTACATCAAAGTCAGTTAGTTTGCAGAACTGATGTATATAGTTGAGTTATGCTATTTGCATGTAAACTGTTCTGTGGACAACTAATTTCCTGTTGCCTTTGGGAATGTAATGATGGAAGAAGAATAAGCATCTCTTAAAAACCTACTTGCCTATTCAAGCTTTCCTGAACTCTTGACTCTAATGGTTTTTTTTGTATTCTCCTCTGTTTTATTTGTAACATTTTGTTTCATTTTTTAAAAGGGTTTTTTTCCAGTAAATTTTATTAAATGTTGTTGCATTTTTATTGTTTTTATGTAAACCTCTTAGGTACACACACACACACGGACAAAATTGGCAAAATCAGCTAAATTCCGTTAAACCAAACATATTTCAGTTAATCTGCTCTGGCAGTACATCTGTTGGAATTCCTGACTCAGTAAAAAAAAGTAAAAGGGTTTCCATTTCCAAAACTACACTGAACTGTATTATTGATAAAGTTCATGAACCTGCTTTATAGTCCATGCTGGCTGTTTTACAGCAACAGTCCAAAAGCTGCCGTGGTGTTTCTCTCTATCATCTTTTTAAAACTAAGCTTGACATGGAACAGTCCTTGTGATAACTCCTTTTTGCAGATGATATAAGGGGTTTTTAT